TTACTGCGAAACACAGGTACAACACGCAGTACAGCGAGTACCCGTTACTGCGAAACACAGGTACAACACGCAGTACAGTGAGTCTGGGATTGGTGGTTGCCAGGATGACGGAGTCAGGCTCCACCCCTTAGGTCCAGTCAAAGGAATTGTTCACGCTTCAGCACACGGACACACTTTTATGTTTCATGCACGGAGTCCTGACCTCCAGCACAGGACATCTGACCTCACGATGCTCTTCTGGAAGAACGGTCACAAATTCCCACAAACACTCCTAAACCTGTGGAAATCCTTCCAGAGGTGCAGCTGTTACAGCTGCAGCGGGCCGACATCATGTTACACTCACGCTCTGCCGTCAGGAGGTCAGGTGACGTTACCTGATGTCACCTGATCTCCTGACTTCTAAAACCGGTTTATCGGTTATACTGTAAATTGTGCTGAGTGAGATAATAAGACACAGAAGGCGTCACTCTGACCAACATGTAGCGTTTACACAGCTTTTGATGCGAGCCACAGAAAGTGAGCTGAGACTGATGCGCACTGTGACTAGATAACAGCTGAACCAATCAGAGAAGAGAGAGGACAGGACGCACCTGTGAGGACGCTGTGATGAACATTTCACTTATTCAAACAAACGCTCTTCCTTTGCTGCAGCTGTTCACTGTAACGGCAAACAGGAGCTTTCTTCTTCTACTACTGAGAGGGAAGCTGGAGGGAGCCGGAGTAGGCAAACAGCTGCCTGCATGGACCATCGACTACCTTACCAACAGACCACAGTATGTGAGGCTCCATGACTGTGTGTCCGAGGTGGTAATCACGGGGGCGCCACAGGGCACGGTTCACCTTTCCTGTTCAGCCTTCACATTTCAGACTTCGGACGATTGCCATCTACAGAAGTTCTCAGATGATACAGCCATCATTGGATGCATATCAGACAGGAATGATCAGGAATACAGGCGGTCATCAGTGACTCTGTTGGTTGGTGTGAGACCAACGTACTTCAAATCAACGCCGGCAAGACAAAGGAGATGATCATAGACTTCAGGAGGAAGTCCCCCCTACAACACCGGTGAACATCCGAGGGAAAGACATTGAGATAGTGGACTCTTATAAGTACCTGGGTGTTCACCTCAACAATAAACTGGACTGGACTACAAATACAGACGTCCTGTATAAGAAGGGCCAGAGTCGACTCCACCTGCTGAGGAGACTGAGGTCCTTCAGAGTCTGCAGGACTCTGTTAAGGACCTTCTATGACACTGTGGTAGCATCTGCCCTTTTCTATGCAGTGGCCTGCTGGGGGAGTGGATGCACGGACAGGGACAGGAGCAGGATTGACAAACTGGTGCGGAGGTCTGGCTCCGTGCTGGGATGCCCCCTGGAGTCTGTGGAGGTGGTTGGTGAGGGGAGGATGTTAGTAAAGCTGACATCCATCATGAACAACCCACATCACCCACTGCATGAGTCTGTGAGTGGGCTGAGCAGCTCCTTTAGTCAGAGACTGAAACACAGGAAGCTGCAGGAAGGAGTGCTTTCACAGATCATTCATCCCAACAGCAGTTAGACTATAACTCCTCAATCACGATGTCATAAGTCACTGGACACTGAACATCCACGGTCACCACTTCATGCATAATGGACCTTCCATGTGTACGGACATGTGCAGGTATATATGTATGTATGTGTGTGTGTGTGTACATGTCTATAAACAGGAATAGTAGTGGTACAATAGTTATGTCAAGCTATATAGTTTATGTCTTCCATATTTCCAACCATATCCATAATCACATACTGTGTGTGCTACCATTGTATGTAGTGTATTATCTTACTTTTTTCATTGAATGTATTTATTTGTATTGTTGTATTTCCTTCATGCATCTGTACCTGAGCTGAGGTGACGCAAAAATTTCCCCGTCGTGGGATCAATAAAGTCTTATCTTATCTTACAGTAATGAAACCTTTGATCTCAGCCTGAATCATCTGAATAAAATAATAAATGTCGTCTTTTGTCAAAGCTTTAAAAATGAGAAAGTTGGACATGTGAACTTCTGAGGGACGCGACCTCTCGGCCGTAGCTGCGGCAGGGTTAGCGTGAACATGTCAGCGCAGACTCACGGGGGAGGTTTGGTCGGCCGCCCGTCGAACTTGTCTTTCAGCTGTCTCTCGGCTTTGGTGAGGACGGAGCGCACGTGATCGTCCGAGTTCACGTCTGGATGAGCTTCCAGGTACACCCTCATGCTGTCCTAAAACAGGAAGTGCAGTCGTGAGACCCGGCGGTGAGACTTTCGGTTTCAGCCCAGATCATCATCACATCGCCCACACGTCCCAGAAGCTGTTACAAACACCGGAGCTGGTGTCGGCTCGCTTCCAGGACTCGTGTCGTGATGATGGTTCAGGTGAAACGCTGAGGCCGAAGCGCCTGCTTCCCGTCTCTCTGGTACCTCGTAATCTTTCTGGAGCTCCAGCGCCTTGCTGATCCACTTCAGTCTCCTCTTGTCGGACAGCTGGGACCACTGTCTCCTCAGAGCATCCTTCAGCTCCTTTTGACTCACCTGAAACAGAAACACAGTCGTGAGGATGCAGAGACGGGTCCTGACAACGCTCCGGGCCTCGAACCGGCAGCAGGTCTACGAGCTACCGCCGTGAAACTCTCCGCAGACGCCATGACAACACGTGAAATCAGAGCACCGAGGAGCCAAAATGAAGTTTTGTATGATCACGAGCAGGACGCCTCCTGCGGGGACAAAGGAGCTGCCTACACGGCAGGCGTGATTCTGGCCCATCTATGAACTCTGACCTTTTCTTCTTTCCATAGTTTCAGGTGGATTCGGCTCAGCTGATTGGCTGGGCCACCTCTAGAAGACTCTCGGAGAACTCGTCCGTCTGAACCCTTGAGAGGAGCACGTGATGGTTTCAGCCGTCATGAGACGTTTCCATGGTGATGACTCACCTTCCTGTTGGGACCGAACCAGCCGATGCGCGCGGAGCGGCAGGACGCCGCACGTCTCTGCACCTGCCTGGCTTCATGCGCCCTTTTCTCATCATCACACAAAACTTCATTCATGGACGTGCGGGTTGGACGTGTTACCTAAGGTTGACTATATCGACCATCGCCGATGGGCGGAGCCTTTCACCGGTTGTTTTTACAACAGCGATGTGTTTATGTGCACCGGTCTGTGAAGCTAAGAGAAGCAGTCAACGCAAACAATCATAGCGCCGTTTGAACGGCGGCGACTCGTTTGCTCCGAGCTCAGAAAAGACTAACATGTGATTTCAAACGGCCACGCTGGTCTCAGTGGCTGCTTTGTCCACTCGGTGTTTATCTTTGCACACTCGACCCAAGGATGATCAAACAGTGTCTATATTCACACTGGAACTAAAGGAGGTCGAATATTCCCTCCAAACATAACGCGTGCACAATTCTGTCGCTCCGCCCATCTAAAAGTCTGTGCTTTTGGTCTGTTTCACATACGGCCCAACGACATCTCCTTTAGGAACACGATTGCTTGTTTTACCTGCTGCATGGTGGTTTGCGCGGAGCGGTCGAGCCCTCCGATTGGACCGGTGCAGAGCTGCTGCAGCTGCACCGGCGGCACAAAGACATGCATGTGTGTGCTGAGCGCGTACCTCAGGGTGCAGCTTCATGTAGGTCTTCTTCTCGTGGTTGTACCACAGCTGTTGGGGGGTTTTGGGTTTCTCCGGCAGGTCCGACTTCTTCCTCTCCTCGATCAGCTCGGGGTGCTCCTCCCTGCGATCAGCTGACATTAGCCATGTGTGCGCCAACACCGTGACCAACACTGCTACATGTAACAGGAAGTAGAACTCACTTGAATCGAGCCATGTTCTTCTCGAAGTCTTCTTTCTCACGCTGGAACTCTGTGATGTACTTTTGCTGCAGAAGGACAAACAAACATGTGTTTGGTTTTTCGGGACTCGAACACGGACACAACTGCGACCTCGGGTTGTGCTGCTGAGCGCACCTTCTTCTTGTCGGGCAGCTCCTTGTACTTCTTGGACAGGATCTTGGTGAGGTCCAGGTTGCTCATCTCTGGATGGATTTTGGCGTATTTGGCTCGTTTCTCCATAAAGAAGCGAAAGTATGGCGTCAGAGGCTTCTTTGGGAAATCTGGGTGAGTCTGCACACGAGAGAGGTCAAAGGTCACAGGTGAACCAGCACATGTCCCAGCAGGTTCTGGCTCCAGAAGGCCTCACCTTCAGTTTCTTGCCTTTATACGGGTTCTTCACGAACTCGATGGCGTCCACGATGAGCTCCGTCATTGTTCGGTACTTCCTGACCTGAAACACAGACTCAGGTCAGTTGAACCGTCAAAACCGAAAAGCTTTAAATCAACACAGCGATGGCTCAGAGGCGTGGTCTTTGGCCAGCGTACCTCAGACGAGACTTTCTGCCACTTCTGGCGACACATCTCGCCGGTGAAGCCGCCAAAACAAACTTTCTCCCAATCAAAGTGCGACTCGGTGGTTTTGTACTTCATGGCGTCTCCGTCAGGCAACACGGTGCGAATCCTCTCCAGCAGAGTCAGACAGTCCTCCTTACTCCAGTCATCTGAGCAGGGAGACAGCGGTCAGGGCGGGGCCGGCGAGGGCGCGTGCCCCACGGCCGAACGTCACAGAAAAACACGTTCGTACGTTTTCACAAAAATCGCCACAATGGTCGTCTGTGAGGACGAAGGTGCACACGGGTGTAACGCTGCAAACACGCAGCTTCAGGCAAACCGACAGTCTGCCCCCCGTCACATCTGAACGCTCACTGGAAGCACTTACACGCTCATTCCAAGTGTCATCAACTTCCTGTGTGGACGCTGCTGTAGCAGAGTTCCCGCGGGCCTACATGAACTGACAGGCGAGTACCTGAACACCTGACAGCGCTAACAGCAGGTCGGCGCTTACCTGGTTCAGTCTTGACCCTGGCGCTCTGAGCCGTGGAGACGCTGCTGCTGCCGTTCATCCTGCAGTGACCGACGGAGGAGGCTCCGCCCCTCCCTCTGAAACACAAAATCAAACAGGTTTACTGCGGCAGGAAGTGCTCATGTGACCATCAGTACGGCTCAGCTTGTGTACTTCCTGTTTCTGCCTGTGTGGGGCAGCGCCGAGGCCAACAACACCTGATCCAATGCCCTGTTCTGGCTCCACAGGGGACGCTCTCGAGCTCATCCTTTAGCCGAGCGAAACCAGCCCGACTGCAAGAGGCGTCGTCTGAAACGGGCGCCGTGACAGAGGACGCCCTGTCCTAAATCCTAAATCACTAAAGGACCAATGCGGGTGTTTTATATCAGTGTCAGGTGAGAAAGGCTGCAGGAGCAAAGGGGGCTGGATTTAATGTGACCGTGTTTTTACGGCGCCCCCTGCTGACCTGCGCAGCGTTTTCACACGTTTGGCTCTCTGTAGCTCAGAGGAGGCGGGCTTTTGGGGGGGAAGTCACTCGCCTGTGACACGGCTAGAAGTAAGTGGAGCGTGAGTCACTGAGCAGAATATGTCGCCTGATCACCTGACACGTCACCTGATCCCTGCTGCCCCGCTGTAGGCTAACACGTTGAAGGTCAGTGACATCACCTGTTACTGTATAGAATGTACCAGGTGTATTTATAGAGGATGACAGCTGGCCGCCACCACACTTTCACACCTTCATCTTCTCACTGCCCAATCAGCTTGCAGCTCACACCATGGCGGCCCAACAGTATGCGAACTTCCTGAAGGCTTCTTTTCATTTACAGAAATCAATCTGAGCGTGCCCAGAAACGAGATTCTGCACATGCAGTGAGGACACTGTGTTTAAGAGTCCTCCAGGTGTGGCATGCAGAAAGGCTCCAGAGCGCCACCCTGAGTGATAAAAACGTCAATGCACACTTTAAGGTCTGTGTATGAAGCCACGCCCCCACACCTGGGCACCATCACCTGTAGTCTGATTCTTCCAAAGATGCAGCTGCTCTTCGGAGTTCACACATCTGTGGCGCCATGGCGGATTCTGATCCTTCGCCACTGGACAAAAAAAGATGACTGAGGGGTCTGCAGCTGCCTGCACAGGTGTGATCAGAGTGCACACCCACTCACAGCGCCAGCTACAGGGCACAGAATAGCCAATCAGAATGTTTCACCTGCAGCAGCTTCACTGTGAGGGTGCCCACCTGTGTGCACCACAGGCATCGTTTGAATGACCTCAGACTGACGTGCACCTCAACTGTCCTCACCTGGCTGAGCATTAAACTCACGTGACATCACCACACCAGTGTAACCACAGAGGTAACCGGAAACTGTGTGTGTTTGGTGACATTGCTGATGATCGATTCTCAGACAGGAGCTGATCTCTCACACACACCGGTGCCATTCTGCAGACGGTCCCCGGGTTCTGAGTCCGGACGGCCGGGGAGCTGGGCTCGGCCCGGTAAGCTCTCCGGACCGCCAGCGTCTAGCTGCCCGGTAATGGCGTCCATCCTCCGGCAGGAGTCAGCACGTAGCTTCCGCTGCCACGAACCGCCGAACCGAGCGCGAAGGTTTCCCGGTGAAACCTGTCTGAGCGACGCGGAGACCAAACCGGAACAAACCGGATGAAACCGGATAAAAGACCCGAGCTAAAGTCTCCGGACGGCACACGTGGAGCGTTTAACGGCTTTAATCCGACAAAATGATGACACGTAAAAAGGTCGAGCTCGAGTCTACCCGCGGTGCAGGAGCACCAGAACCCCCGAACCGCCGAACCCTTTACCCGCAGAACCGGAGCTTTGTGCGGGCGGGACGGGCTGCAGCTGCCCCACAAGCCTCCGCTGCAAAGCCGCCATGAATGTTGTGGCGACTCGGGGACGAGCGAGCAGAAAAACCCAGAAATGCGTTTAAAATCGGAACCTGGCGCTTACCTGCTGGTTCGGACAGAAAGCCGGGGTGATTCTGCACGGCACCGTGCCGGTTCGGCTGCTTTCGGAACCGTGGAAGTGTGTTTTTTTCAGCCGTAAACCCCGGGGAGTCAGGTCGAAACGAATCCGACAAAAGGAGCGTCTAGTCCGGTATGAAACTCCGCCCAGCGCCGCAGGGGGAGGAACTCCGGGGGAAAACATGAGGACAAAGGCGGAGGATGAAACCAGAGACAGCGGCCACAGCGGCAGCCAGCCCCGCGGAGCCGCAGCACACGCACTCTTTAACGGACGCTATTTTACATTTACGCCGTTTTCACTCAAACCCAACTGCGACTGCGTGGTCCGAGCCCTCTCCGCCACCCTCTCCGGGTCCAGATGCTGAACCGGTGGGAGGCCCGGGGACCGCCGGCTGGCCCCGGCAGAGATGCGGCCGGGGGCCCGCGGAGCACAACGGATGCTCCGAGAGGAAACAGTCGGTGCTGCCAGCAGCTCGGGGCTCCCTCCACAGCCCGGCGCGGTGCTGATCGCGGGTTGAGAGGCGGCAGAGGAGCCCGCTAAGAGCAGCCGAGTCCCCGTGATCAGTGAGGTCATCATCTGAATCCGCACCTGCCGCAGGTGGGGTGAGGTGGTTCTGCTGTTTGTCCTAATAAACTTTTTTTATTTAGAATAAAAACAGCCTTTGTTTTGAGTTCTTGTGACTTTAACTCTGGAGTAAACTCGGAGGACCCTGCCACCTGAGGTGAGGACAGGTGCACTGGGCCTCACCTGTGGGACTCTCAGAGGTCTGAGCTGGGGTCCGGGTTCTGGTGGACTGTGGAGCCCTCACAAACACAGCCAGTGGCCCCTGAGCGCCACTGCTGGCCCGGATGTTCAGCACGTTAAAGCGACAGTGTTGGGGTAATGACGTCATCCTGACTAACAGCGCGTGCAGCAGCCTCTCTAACTTTGAAGGGTCAGGCTGTGCACGTGGACACCTCAGGATGAGCCACCAATCAGCTGATCAGGTGTCTGCAGCTGTCAGAGCCTCAACATCCTCAAGAGGAAACACTGCAGACTGATCGATCGGCTCACTGACCGATCAACTGGTTGATTGAGCGGACCCACAAAGTTGAAACTCACATATTTCACAGGACTTTGTGCAGAATTTACACTCACAGCCACTTTATTAGGTACACCTCCTCCTCACAGCTGCTTCGTCTGCTCCCTGGGGCCCGGACACACCGGTCTCCTAAATCATCATTCTGATGCTTCATTTGAACCTCAGCGGCTCCTCTTCATCACCCTTCATAATCCTGCTACCCTGTGATTGGCTGGTGAGATATCTGAGTTTAACAGATGCACCTAATAAAGTGACTGTAAATAAAATTAGTGTATTGTATTCATGCATCTTAATATATGTTTGTATTTAGTGTGTTTGAACATGTTTCTGTGGGTGAAGTGAACCTCATGCTGTAAAATCTGCTGGTCTTCTCTCCCACACAGACACACAGGCACTCCTAAAGCATAATCACCAACAGCTTCATGCTCTTATTTTGAAATGTGGCAGCAGGTCATGGTCAGGGTTCCTTCTTAGTACCTGAGCCTGTCACACAGCAGCGTCATGCAGGTGATGCTGATTGGATCATCTGGCTGCGAGCTCAGTTGAGCACCAGTCAGACTTCCTGTGTGTCAGCTGTCGTTCGGAAGCTTATTTTGGTCACTTTTTGTTTTGTTTCATTTATTAAAAACTTTATTCGGATCTGATCTCGAACATGTTTCTTCTTCTTTGCTTTTTGTTCTGTACCGTTTGAAACTGTTACACTGCTTGTTTCTTTCTTCTGGTTACGTCATAAGGATAATCGCGACCAACAGAAATATGCATGCGCAGCCTCCACTGGAGGGTGATGGTTTTACAAAACCAAAGGAAAACAGGAGAGAGGAGACGGTTATATCTTGACTCAGATTTGGGCATGCTGGTTTGAACAGCACGTTGTTTTTAATGAGAAAACACTGCACAGGGGAGCGTGACTGCACCAGAGAAGAAGAAACAATAGAACATGTTTTAGTGCATTGTCAGAAATATGCTCAGTGAGATGAAATTGAAACTGGACTTGGTTGATATAAGAACTGGCGAAGTTATCAGGTCATATTTTGTTTTTTTAAGGCAGACTCGTTTGTCTGGGAGGATTTGATTCATTTTTGACATTCAGTTCACACTCCACACCAGTTGGTGGCGGTAATGTACCATTTTGCTATTTGCCAACTGCCAATAAACAATATAAAGAAGAAGAAGGATCCGCTGGGTCCGCCGCGGAGCACAGCAGTAGAAGAAGAAGCGGCAGCAGGAAGTGATGCGGCTGTTAGCCTGCAGGCTAACGGGGAGGACATGAAGCTCCTGGACTGAACGTGAGTGACCGTCGACTCCTCGCGTCTCTGCGGAGACTCAGACTATGGGTCAGTGGCTCCCTGGGAGCGCGAGTTGTTAGCGCGTATCTTAGCGTAGCGGTTAGCTGTTAGCTCGGACTTTAGCGGAGCTGATTCAGGTGCGCCCGGGTGGCTCAAATGCCCGGATCTTCCGGTAAAACGCAACCAACAACTGGTGCCGTAACAAGGCCGCGGAGATAGGTGAGCAAATACCTGAGCAGAGAGCGTCAAAAATACACTTGATTAACAACCGGATCAATCATGGATCGATACCTGCTGACGGCACACAGGAAACCGGAAGTTAGCGTCGTGTAATGGCTTTTCATTCCACTGGTTGGACAGCCATGCAGGAAGTGACGTGCGAACCGTCAGGGGAGCTTTTCCTCTGAGTGTGTTTCCCCAAGATAAAGTCCCAGAGGTCACCCTGTGGTATGTGTAGTGGGGGGACAGGATGCTTGCTCTGATTGGACTAAACTGGGCGCAGGTGTAATGTAGAGGCGGAACTTTGACGTTTGCTGGGATTTTATCACGTTACAGGTGATCAGCTGCAGGTGTCCTGCAGATGTCCTGCAGATGTTCAGACGTTGGTTTCGCTCGTGTGTCTGAGCCGTCAGCTCGCTTTGAGTTAGGAAGTAACTCTGTCGACCTGAGAGAGGAGCTCACCTGCTCGTAGTACTCTCACAGTATTGTATGTATCACCACACAGTACTGCGATACTGTCGTGTGACATTGGAGCTGTGGGACACCTGCCCCTAAAGGTTTTTTTTTCTTTCTTTCCCTAGTTCTTAAAAAGCTTCAGTCATGCTGGAGTGAAAGGACAAGTGAGGGGTTCTCAGGTAAACAAGAAGTGTGTGTATATACCTGAAGCTAAGCTCCGCCCTCTCCCTACAGGTGTGTGAGCTGTGCTGACCTTGGCGGCGATGGCGCTGATCGAAGGTGTCGGTGATGAGGTGACGCTGCTGTTCGCCGCTCTGCTGCTGCTAACGGTGCTGCTGCTCGCCTGGATCTCCACCCGCACATCCGAGCCCCCTGAACACCTGTTCACAGGCTCCTCCCCTTTACAGAGGCCTGGGCAAGCCCAGCAGGACACGCCCTTTTCATCCACCGCCGCCTCCTCATCCTCGTCCCCCTACCCACCATCCTCAACCTCCACATTCTCCATGTCCTCGTCCTCACCTTCCTCCTCTGTGAACGACAGCTTCCTGACAGAGGCTCCCCCCACACTAGAGGATGGACAGGTGGGAGGGGACGGGGTGAGACGCAGAGGAGGAGACGGGGAGGGCGCAGCGTCTCAGCGGAATATGGTGGTCAGACTCAAGTTCCTCAACGACACGGAGAGGATGGCGCAGGTCCAACCGCAGGACACCGTCGGGTACATCAAGAGGTACGAGTACTGCATGTAATACTGCATAGTATAGGAGTTTCGGTAAACCTGAAGCTCCTCCTCCTGGCTGTGCTTTTGGACCCGTTTGCTGACCTCTGACCTCTGACCCTGCAGGACCTACTTTGCGGGGCAGGAGCATCAGGTGCGTCTCATCTATCAGGGCCAGCTGCTGCAAGACGACGCGCAGACACTCGCCTCGCTGAACCTCGCTCATAACTGCGTGCTGCATTGCCACATCTCGCAGCACGCGGCGCGGGGGGCGGCGGGGGGCCAGCGGGCGGGAGACCAGGTGCGCGTGGCGCTGAACGTGGGCAGCCTGATGGTCCCACTGCTCGTGCTCATGCTGTCCGTGCTGTGGTACTGTCAGATCCAGTACCGCCAGTTCTTCACCGCCCCCGCCACCGCCTCGCTGGTCGGGGTCACCATCCTCCTCAGCCTGGTGGCCTTTGGCGTCTACCGTCGCTAGCCTCCCATGGGCCGGCGGGGGGTATGAGACGCTACCTGCAGTTAGTGTTTGTTTCTGTTGCCATGGAGACGTCGTGAGGACAGAGACTCTTATCATTAGATCACACGTTTATCTTCATCATCAGCGTGCCTCTTTGATTTCTGTGGGAGGCACAGACACACCTGTCTGCCTCACCTGTGTGTGTGTGTGTGTGTGTGTGTGTGTGTGTGAGAAAGTTTCAGCTTTTGGAGAAAATCTATTAAACCTTTAATTTATCCCGTGGTGTCTGAGTGTGTGTGTCACACCTATACAGGTGATTCTGAGGGTGGAGCTGCTGCAGTCACATGGCTGGTTGGCATCACCTGATTAGCTGGGCGGTCAGCGTTGGGGAATACAGATTTTTCCTTAGCGACAGGTGGTTGCTAAGCAGTCTCTAACCATCCAGGATCAGCTGATAATGGAGTCCATTTCCAGGGTGAAGATTATTATATGGGCTCTTATGTTTGACCCTCTGTGTAGCAGGAAGTGTGTAATGTTACAAAATAAAGTTGGATACAAAATGCTCAGAATGAAAGAAGTCATGTGACGACCTCAGACCTTTTCTATAATGTGATTGGTCGGAGCTGCTGCTTTGACATGTTCACAGGTCACGGCTCTGTAAATCCAGATCCTGACGACTTGAACCAAAGTCACGAGGAGACGACGGCGAAACCTCAAAACTGTCAAAGTCGCCGACGTCACATCAGCGGCACGAACTCCTCAAATACAACATGTCGAAGAAGACGGAGAGGTGCACAGTGTGGCCCAAAGTTAGGAGCAGGAAGACTGACCATCAGGTTATCAGGTCATTATCAAACCTACAAGCAAATATTAGAAATTCAGCTCCAGTTTGAATTTACTGTCAAAAACTTCAATCAGAGATCAGTAAGTGAAGAAATAACAGAAGTGAAGACGCACGTTTCTAAAATCTAAACGATTGTTGTAATAAACCCGAGCCCACTCACAATGACAGACAGTATGAAACTAGATGAGTTACAGATCTCGGGTCTGGAGTTAAGAGGAGGAGAACAATGTGGTCCTGTGCACAGGTTCAAACAGCTGATGGTTGGTGGTGTAGCAACGCCACCTGCGCAGCTCGAGATTCTCGACTGATTCCTTCGTGTTCCTACAGTAGACTTCAGAGACACGTGTGAAGATCAAATAACCACCACAGAAGCTGATGCAGCGATTGGACGTCCTTCTAACAGAGCCCAGGCTGGACGGCCTCACAGGAGATTTCTACAAACGTTTCTGGGAACACATCGACGGCCTTTTACATCGAGTATCGGTAAGAATGTTTCAGACTTCCACGCTGCTGCCCACAATGAGACCCGGACTTATCGCCTCAATTCCAAAGCCCAACGAGGAGACTAAGAAACTCCGAATGTCTTCACTGCTTGTCTTTAGATAGCTCTGTCATGTCTCGTTTCAGAAACGCAGTCAGGTCTCTTCACAGGAGGATCGGTTCACAGTGACAGAGCAGTGCTGGATACAGGAAGCTGATAAAGACGATGGATTGTTACAAAGCCTTCGACTCAGCCTTGATAAAGTCCTTGAACACTTTTGGAGTTAAATTCAGAAACGTGATTTGTGTTTGTACCACATTATTAGCAGTTGTGTCGTTGTACCCGATGGTACCAACCCTAGCTTTAAAGCTAATGTTGGAATCTCTCCATATGGATTCATATTGGTCACCAAGATGTTGGCGATTCATCTTCAAAAGTTCAATGACATAAAAACATTTAATGTTTTAGCCACAGATATTATGATAAGTCAACGGATGACACAGCAATATTTTAAAAGATAAACTCCAAGATCCACTAACTATTGAAAAATTGCTGTCTCAGGCATCTGCACTACTACTATTGTCATTAGTACTATTAACATTACTATTATATCATCTGGTTTAACATTAAACGTTAGAGAATGTGAAGTCCTTGCTGTACCTGATGCAGCAGAAACAGATGTTTGTAACATTCCTGTTAACTCCAAAATGAGATATTTGGGAATCTCACAAAGGACCAAAAACAAAATCAGTCGTTGACGTGGAGAACAAACTGAAGTCATGGCTTCAAAGAGATCGATCCATGGTGGGCAGAATTTATCCAACAAATATGGAAAGTTTATCCAGATGTATCTTCCTGACATGCTGCCATTCCAGACAAACGCTTCAGCCTCATTGCATGAAAAACGGCTGCTTGATCAAAGATGGTAAAGATGGAGGTTTGAAAGCCACAGACGTCCACAGCCTGAACGGGACCTCAAAAATAAACATGAAAGATGATGATCCTGGTACTCTGGTCCAAACGAGTTATTCAGTGGCCTGAACTTTCTCCTTATCACGCTCTCCTATCTGTGAAACAGCTGCGGCTGTGACCCCGACACTGGTGCCACAGCTTCAGAGGTCAGAGTTCAAATCTATGCTTGCGCTCGCTCACCTGTGCACTGCACACACAGGTGAGATCGTACCTGACCAGCGCCTGTTCAGCCCGAGCTTCAACATTTACCTTCGTCACCGACCCGCACACAGATGATCACGGGGCTTTTATTTTGATAATTTGTTTGATATTTTGACATCAAACACCTGCACAGGTAAGCAGGCAGGAGGTCTGCAGGTGGAGTTCTGGAAGGCCAAGTGTGGGCATCAACACTGAAACACACAAACACGCCATGGATACAGCTGATCACATGACCTCTACAGTTTACAGGATAACTAATCAGATATCAACAACAGTGATGTCACCCGATCAATACGAGCTGATGGAGGCTCTTTCTTCTTTTCCTGAATGACTTTCTGTAGATTGTTTACGTGATGGATACAAACAAGCTCACCTCCAGCTGTGCAGCCAGATGTTGGGCTGTAGCAGGACGGTCTCTGTGTGGGGGAGGGGCGAGGAAGACGAGGAACCTTCGCTCAGCTGCCTGCTGCAGACTGCCACCCAACACACAGACCAGGCTTTTACTTTGAAAGGTTTGACAGGCCGACTAGTCTGTTAGTGGGCGTGTTCTGCTTCAGTCACACCTGCCACAGGTGTTTGTCAGTGACATCACTGGACGCCGAGTGTGACGTGGCGCTTCATAATGAATCGGGTTCACTTCCTGTGAGCGGATGAAGGACAGCAGAGAGTCTCCAGGTGACTCACCTGTATGCTGAGTCTGTCCAGTGCCTCGACCTGAAACAGACACGCACGGCTGTACAGCTGGCCAATGAACAGGTCTGGACAGGTGAGCCTTTGCCTCTCTCTGGAAGTCCTTCAGGGTGGGCGGAGTCACAGCTGTCAGCCGTATGTAAGGAACTCCTGAAACACCAACCTTCTGTCGCTCCACCATAGCTGAGAATATGTGTTGAGCCCCACCCTCAGAAGCTCCGCCTCTTCTTTCACCTGTGTCACACGATCAACTCCTGTTCCAGCACAGAGACACACTCTGGATTTTGCCGCAGAGACACCTGCAGAGGCACGTACAGGTGAGCCGGACAGAAAGGGAGAGATGAGTGAGAGAACAGGTGTGCATGCAAGAGCGATATCAGGTCACCTGGTAGTTGCCATTGCAACTCACAGATATCCTGAGCGGCAGACTTGCTGCGACGTAAACATCGCTGATGATGAAGTGTGACAGGCTGCCGCCCCCTGACCCTTCAAATACACTTCCTGTTTCCTGTAGCTGCAGACTGACTTCAAACAATGTAGCCCCAGTGCCACCAGGTGAGTCTACCTGTGGGTTTGTGCCGTCAGACAGGAAGCGCAGCGCTCAGTGCAGCAGCTGGAACAGCCCGTCCTGCACGCAGCCGTTGACATAGTCCAAGCACTTGGTCTGCTCTGTACAGACTCCTGTTCACCTGGGGACAGGTAACAAAGGTGCTTCAGAAGCTGGACCTAAAGCACCTCCTACAGGTGCTGTGTTACCTGAGTTAACCTGAGCAGCTCTTGTCCCTCCTCTTCGATGCGTCTGCAGGTCTCCTTTGAAGCTCTGCCCTCCAACAGTGAGTCACGTGAGCGCTACAGCAAGTGAAGCTCCGCCCACCCCTGTAAAGACACACACCTGAGTACAGGTGAAATGATGGCAGAGTCTAGGCTGAGGGTTGAAGCTTACCTGTGTGAGGTGTGCAATGGCTTCCATGTTGTCTCTGGCCTCCATCACACTAGAGTGGAGGTCCAACACCAGCTCTACCTGCAGCTGCACACCTGGACACACACAGGTGTAATAATGGACCCGCTCCACCATGTTTTTGTGCCTATGATATCATGTGATATATGTCACCTGTGATGCTCCAGGTGTTCCTCTCCAGCTCTGACAGGGTCGGGTTCAGGCGGTTCAGCTGGTCCTGGATCAGAGGAAGCTCCGCCTGCAGAATGCCAAGCACCACCTGAAATTGGACCAAGTCACATGTCACTTGAACTTCCCCCCTACACCTGCAGCTTTGGAGCTCTGTGAGTTGAGCGGGCGGAGCTTCATGTCTCTGTCTCTGCTCTTTTATCTCAGTTACCTCAGCACCGCCTGCACATGTACACACAGGTGAGGTGAGAGGTCCCCCCGGTACACCTGACCTCAGACCCCAGCTTCAGTACCAGCCAGTCAGAGGCCAGCAGACAGGTGTGCGTGCTCTGTGTCTGACTCACCTTGAGGCTGCAGCCGAGCTCGAGCTCAGCGAGGATGAATTTGGCACCTGAATCCAGCTCACAGCTCCACTCTGACCTCACGGTGTCTCTGAAGTCCTACGAAGGTCCATGAGCTCCTCAGACCTCTGCTGGACCAGCCGGGACTCACCTGAGTCAGCAACACCTGAACAGGACACAGCTGTTACCTGCCGAGTCCAGCGGCCAGGACAAATGCAGAGTTCATCCAAAGGTCACCAGCAGTCAGCATCTCAGTCACAAACTCTACTATCCTGGAGAGCCCAACCTTTCCATCTTTTAATAACAGCTGTAAGGTTTACACCAAACACAGGAAGGAAGAGGAGGAGCCTGAGTGTGCTGTGTGCGTGTGAGTCTGTGTGTCAGCCTTACAGGTAGCCCTCCATGGCACCCAGGGCTCGGAGGCGGAGCTGCTAAGTCCAGCTGAGTCGGGCAGCGGCGGTCGGGCTGACTCTGCTGTCTCCGCCTCCTTCCTCTGACGGTAGAACAGCAGCTTGGTCTGATCCAGATCTATTAGAACCAGCTTCACCAGCCACGCCAGGTGAGGGCGCAGGTGGTGCTGGATCAGGGGGCGGTCCAGGACAAAACCAAACATGTTCACCAGCTGCAACACTGAACCAGATCAGAATGGACTGAACTGGATCAGACTGGAGCAGTCCTTTACCGCGGACAGCAGCTCCCCGCAGTCCTCCGGGGCCTGGCTAAGCACAGACACCAGCCACCAGTCCAGGTCAGACACCTGCAGCTGGAACTGATCCGGGTGGAGCTGAAAGCTCTGAAGGGGAGGAGTCACAGCGATGCAGGAAGTACCTCACAATAGCAGGCCGAACCCAGGTGGTCCTCGGGGTCGGTGGGGTTGCACCTGAGGTTGGACAGGTGCGTCATGTGACCCAGGAAGTCCTGGTAAGCCTCCTGAACCACATCGGTCCACTTCCTGCCTCTGACCACGCCCAGGACTGTCTCATTCAGCACGTACAGCTGCAGACTGGAGCAGAACACTTCCTGTTAGAAAGGGCAGGCATTAATCAGCAGGAAGTGATGTCACATGTCACAAGTGTTTAGTCTGAATGTCTCTCTGCATCCCAGCATGCACTGCTTTGAAGGACACAGGGCATTGGTATGAGCAGGTGTGATGATGAGTTCAGGTGATTACGGCAGCGCTAACATTATGACTTGCAGGTTTTGGACTCATCACATTGGCTGTTTGTTGTAGGCGGATGTCAGTGCCACGACCTTCTCTGTGCTGGACCCAACGACCAGAGCTGATGTGAGGAGGTCTGAGACATGACCAATAGGGGGCGCACTCGCACAGCGCGATCTTGGAGGAGATCGCGTCAAACAGAATCGTGCGACACGTGACACGAGCAGCGGCGTGAACCTTTGACATGCTTTACTTTTGTCTGATTAGCCACATGAAAATCCAAGATGGTGGCCATTTTTCAGGGCTGCTGCTGGATGACGTGAAGGTTCCATAGTTGGTGCTTCCAAAGAGACCAATCCTGATGCAGGAATCTAGACACTAGCTCCGCCCACTCCACCACCGTGCTGTCACAGTCATGGAGATTATAGTCTGACAGCTTCCTGATAGCAGCCATGACTTCCTGTCAGCAGAGGTTCGTCTGTGCACGCACACACACACACACACACACACACACACACACACACACACACACACACACACACACACACACACACCTGTGTGTGACTAGTACTGTAAAGTAAGTAAAGCGCTATACAAATACAGGCCATTTACCATTTTACTGGTCACACATCGCTGTCGGGCCGTCACCTGTGTCGAGGTCCAGGCTGATGCTGATGAGCGTGAAGCTCCTGATTGGCTCCAGCTGTCCGTCTACTTTGACCTCCATGTGTGCGTCTGTCTGTTTTGCAACCGGGTGATGATGATGATGGTGGTGGTGGAAGTTCTGCCACCAAGGACCGCTCCATACATCGTAGAGCATAAATTCATTAACAGAGTTTGATCCCATGTGTCCGAGTAAACAAACATGAACGATTACCAATCAAATCAACCAGGAAGAACATCCACGAGGGAAAATACGACCTCGTTAACATACCACTCCAGCCTTTCAACATCATGAAAAAACATTTGACATCATTTTTCAGAAACATCGGAGCTTAAAAAGATTTTTATCAGACTTACACTTTTCATATTTTCACGCATTTTCAAAAGCAAGTGGTTCATGAACGCTGAATGACACGGCCGCTAATGAGCTGGCGTGAGGCTGTCCACCCTCCGGCACATAAACAGTCATGTTACCAAATCACAACAGTAAAGGTAATGCATTATAATCTGATTGAAATTTGATCTGTGACAAACAGAGGGCTTCACTGTTTCAGTAACAGCATGCACCTCCATCAGACAGCTGAGCTGTTTAAGAGAAACATTGACAGAGGCAGTAATCATGGCAGCTCTGAGCTCAAGATCCACGAAGCTGGGGTCTGTCAGACCGGGCAAGACCACAGGTGCAGGGATGGAGACGCCCCCCAGGTGGTCTAAGATCCTGTGGGACTTCCAGATACAGACAGACAAGCTGGTGATGGCTAACCAGCCGGACGTAGTGGTGGTGGAGAAGCAGAGGAAGACGGCTGTAGTGATACCAACATCAGGAAGAAGGAATATGAGAAGCTGCAGAAGAACCAAGTGCTCAGAGAAGAGCTGGAGGGTGAAGGTAGCAATGGTCCCAGTGTGGTGACTCCTGAGCCAGGTGAGTGGCTCCAGCAGATCGCAGGAACAACATCGGAGATCTCTGTCCAGAAGAGCGCAGTCCTAGGAACAGCTGAGATACTGCAGGACCCTCAGGCTCCCAAGGCCTCTGGTAGAGGACCCGAGCTTGAAGCCTGCTGGGCGAGAGCGGATCAATACTTTGTTTATACTTTATTATTACTTCAGTCTTTATGTTAATCAATTAATTGATGTTCTTTTTTTATCCTATACCCAAATTATATTCTTGTTTTTTACTTATTCCTTCTGTTATCTATTATGAGTACCTGCGTCTCCCGGGGTGCAGTATCACTTTCTTCCACCGGATGGAGCCAGATCGTCCTTTAGCTCAGGCCTACCACGAGCTGGCGGTAGTTCACTGAAGTGCGACGAGCCGAATGTGTTCAAACAGAAGTCACATTTACAGCCCTGTGTGCTCGCCGTCGCACCACGGCAGCAATAACAGCCACACTGAACGACATGAACCGAAATAACACAACATGTTACAAAGACAGTGCGAATATATACCAACAGCTCAACTATGAATATGCAGAATATCACAGAGGTGCATTGTGGGTAATCCCAGTCTGTCTGAATGGGAAAATCAATTCCTCGATTGGACTTTCACACCAACACAAAGATGACGTCACAAAACAACTATTTCCTTTTTTAATTACTCCGACTGTTAAGGATTCTCTGACAGCCGCCGATCGGTCGCTCGTGACGGGATTTTTAACCAAACTGAAGCGTTAACAACACCAAATGGTTCCTGCCGTTCCATTTGGGCCGCCTCGGTTCTCTTTATCCAGTCGATGGTCTTTGTCGGCACCAGTTTGTTGGTTCTTTCATGAGAGAAGACACGATCTTCTGTTAAACCACTTTTCATACAGAAAAAATGTAGCACAAAGTGCTTTACATAGTTAAAAGCAGCCCACCCCACCCTCCAACTCACTCCCCACACTCTCAATACACATATATCCCCCCACCCCCACCCACACACACA